TGACCCGGTGGTGTTATTTTAAAATAGCGATTTCTGCACCGAGTTGAGGCTTGGCCGCGCAGAGCGCTCCCCTCACGGGAGAGCGCTCAGAGCCACACGCAGGGCCCTGCTCGCTCAGAGCACTGGGCTGTGCAAAGGCAGCAGCTGCAGACGGGTTTCGCTGCAGCAAAGCTGCTACAACACACGAAGTTCTACCTCAACATGAGGAAGAACTGCCCTGCATTGAGGATGGCAGAGCACTGGAACAGGTGTCCAAGGAGGGCGGGGATTCTCCTTCTCTGGAGACATTCCAAGCCCACCTGGATGTGTTCCTGTGTCACCTGCCCCAGGTGACCCTGCCTTTGCAGGGGGGTCAGACTGGATCCCCTCCCAGCCCTGCAGTTCTGTGATTCTGTGCATTCTGTTCACATCACTTCTGTGATGCCGCCCTGCTGCGCCTGGGGATTGCTGTGGGGGAGCAGGAACAGCTGGGTGATGCCACGAACAGCTCCTGTCAGCACCGGGGAGATGCAGCTCTGGTCGGGGGTGGCTGCTGAGCCTCCCCTCGTGCTCGGGCAGCCCCTGGCAGGCAGCACATCACATCCCCACGGCGCCAGGCTCCCCCAGCACAGCGTTAAACAACGCGGCTCACATCTGTCGCCTGTTTGTTTTCCCCTCCTGTCCCCAGAGAAGGGCCGTGTACACAGGCAGAACGCTGCCATGGCGGTGACAGCTGGGCTCTGCTTCTCCCCCACAACGTGGAGCTGCACAGGGGCAGCACTGGTAGAAAAACTGCAGCCTCTTAACCCTCCCTCCACTCAGGAGGGTTTGGGATTAATTAAAAAAAAAAAAATACATGTACATGTGCACACATGCAGATAGAAATGTAATAGCTATGCATATACATGATGCATTATGTGTAAGGGGCATAAATTTACACAGACAGATTGCTCTTGGTTTATGCTAACGGGGGTCAGAGTACGCCTAACCCCGGGAGCAGAAGGTGGTGGTGTTTGTAATGGTCTTTTGTTCTCGGAGGAGATCATTCTCTGGGCTGGGCCCCAGGAAAGGCTGGTCCCTCGGCAGATGAATGCTGCCGTCGCTGCCGGGGTTACGTGATGGCAGAGCCGTGAGGCTGTTGACCGTGGTCTTCATCCAAAAATTCCAGCTGGATTTTATGTATCTCTAAATCACAAGGCTTTTGAGTATCTCGGATATGTGGCCCAGGATGGAATTGTATGGAAAAGCGGCCAAGGAAAGAAGCCTTCAACAAAAACCTTGACTTCAGAAATGAGTGAAGCATTCTGTGTTCAGAGGATCTGGTAATCTTGATTCCAGATCAGTGTTTGCAGTTATGGTTTCATATGAGCTATTCTTGCTCCCAGAAATCATTTATGAGGCCAAATAAAAGCAGAACTAGCTCCTAAAAGAATCTTGATTCCTGACTCACACAAGAAAATGGTACAGATTTAGTGCTAGCACCTCCCTGGAAAAGCAAAAATAAATTACAGGAAAGGGAACAGTGATCATAAATACCAATTTGGCTCACTCAAGCATTCAAAGCTGGTTACTGTTAACAATTGTCCTGGACAAAAAGTGACCACATGAGATATAGGGGACGTTTTTATGGACATTTTGTGCTTGGGAGAGGAATGAGTCCTGTCTCCATGCTGCACACTGAAATCAGAGCACCACAAATTCTCTGGGATATCTTTGGGATGGGGAAACTAAGCACACAATCTCCTCAAGAAAATGTAATGCTGCTGTTGTTGAGGTGCTGTAAACACAGACGGTGTTTGATAAACAGGTACATAAAACACATAAACCCGGGTTGCTGGGGCAGGGGGCTGCTCCCATTCCCCTCCCACAAAGCCAACTGCAAAGGGAACAGGTTGGAAATTGAGCCTGGCAATGAAGAGAGGGTTAATTTCTTTTGTCTCATTCCCATCTTCTGCCTTTTCCCTGCCATTTGCCCGCTTTCTCCCTCTCCCTGAGTGCAGAAGGAACACACCTCCACTCCCCCACTGAGGGTTTAGTCTTAGGTCGCCATCACATTCTAGAGGGACACGTAGTTTATAAATACAGCAGGGCCTGGCGTTACGAGGAAACATTTTATCAGAGAGCCCCGAACTGACGATTCAATTATTTTTCAATAAAACATCAGGGGAATGCGCAAACAGCTGCTCGCATCCTTCCACACAGCAAGTCAAACTTCAGGGCGAACAATGGCCGGCGAAAGGGGAGCCATCGCGGAGGCGGTGACAATGGGTTTCCTTACTCGGGGCTTTGTTTGATTTCCCCGTCTCAGTTTTGAACTCCCTCCGGCGGAGAAAGGCGAGGGGGTAGGACGGGGAGAGAGGGAAGCAGGCAGAGGGGAAGGAGGGTCAGTGGGAGTTAAAGCCTTTTGCAGCCTTTCTCTGCCATTCATGTGGTAATTGGGTGTCAAGCAGAGATCAGTAAGATGGAGCCCGGCCTCTGTGCCCGGGTTAAACTGCAGCAGAAAGAAAGCGGGAGCTGAACCGATGGAGGGCTGAATGTCATTAGGGCGGGAGGAAGCGGCTCTCCCCCGGGAGCCCTTCTGCCGGGGTGCTGGGCTGGGGGGGCCGCTTCCCATTCAGGGCATCCCTCAAAGCGGCCAGACAAAGCGGGAGGGCGTCCCAACAATGCCGCACCCCCGGCTCTACCTTCAATAGGGAGCTCTAAACAGGCGTTTAACCTTCAGAATAGCTGAAAGTGATACTCAAAGCTGAGGGGGTGGCTCGCCCGCCGCTGTTAGCCTCTTCCTGCGGCCTGCCGAGCCACTCGCATGGCCGGGGGCAGGAGCAAGGCTCTGGCTGCCCTCACTTCCTCGGGGCCCCTGGCACAGCCCCGGGCGGGTCGTGGGAGGTGTCGCCTCCAGGGCAGGATCAGGGCACAAATCCTGCCCGGGATGCTGGGGGCCCCGGGAGGCTGCTCCGCACCCTCAGGGATGGGAATGGAGGAAGGCAGGGC